TTCCGTGTCAACAAATCCCACCTGCATTTTAGTGCGCTTTGTGGTTCATTCAATCATCTTCTTGCTCATCTGCCATGTACAGACTTCCTGCTGCTAGGCTAACACACTGGAGGCGGCCACGTGTGCCTTTTTTTCATTCAACAAGTATTTTCTGAGCTCCTCTAATGTGCCAGGCACTGAGCTCTGTAGTCTGGTGGACAACCTGCGCTTAGAGTGCTTTTAGGTCATTACAGCTCATTACATTGGGCTCAAGCAGCGGGACTTGAAGAACACAAAAGATGGACACCTAACTTTAGGTGGTGGGAGGCAAGAGAAACTCAGAAGCTATCCCTGAGGAAGTGACATCTAAGTTTAGTCTAAAGGAAAGACCAACGAGGGGATGAAGAAGGATGTTCCAGGCAGAACAGCACAGGCCAATGAACAGTAGAAACATGGTGCAAGATAGGCTATGGTATTCTCTAGAGATTAGACCCATACAGAGGAGGACATGAGACATATTCAAACTGGATCTTCAGGGATGACTAGGCATCTGTTAAGGAGGTGAAAACGTCCCAGGAAGACTGTGCTGTATGTGCAAGGTGCAAAGCATATGCCATGTTGGGAGAGGGGTGAGTAATATGGGATGATGGCTTCATGAAGCATAGAGCATGAGGACAGTGTAGCACCTGGGGGATGTGAATGCCATGGTTAGCAGTTTGGACTGAAAGTGATAGGAACTACGGAGGAGGGGAGAGAGGGAGGATGAGCGAGAGACAGAGTTAGTTTCCTTTTATAGTGACGGCTCCAACTGCCGCATGGAAGACACGTTAGAAAGAGCAACACTGGAGGTGGGGAGACAAGTTAGAAAGAAGACTATTGCGATCCACCGACTGGGGTGATGAATGACAGATCCTCAACAAGGCAGTTAAACAGCTGGATCAAGGATATAAAGCAACATTAACAACACAGGCTTCCAAGTCAGACAGACCTAAGTGTGGATCCCAGTCACTATCTGTGAGCAAGTCACAGCTCTCTGAGATTCCGCTGCCTCCCCTGGGAAATCAGGACGACGATAAAACAGACCTCGCCATTGTCGAAAGGGTGACATCATATGATAGACACAAGCACCCGGCGAATGTGCATAAATGAGAGCCACCATCCTTGGCATCATTAACTGGACACGGTTGACCAGATGCAGATCCTGAGAGAGACCAGAGACCACAGTGACTCCAGGGTCTCTGGCTGGCCACACTAATAGTAAGCAGAGAGTGGAGTAGGCAGGTGGGGAAGGAGGCCTGGGAGAGGATGCCCTAGTTTGTTGAGTATGAAGTGCCCACAGTTGAAAGAGCTAGTCCTCCAGTGGTCTTCCGTACTCCGCATCTTGCTCTGTGCGCCAAGGAGGCAGGACCCTGACCACTTTGGACCCAGACCACTTCTCAGTGTTGTCTTTGTAGCAAGCACCCTTGAGAGATGAGGTGGTGTCTCCCTCTAGGCTTGCTTACTCCTCCCTATGGGAGCGATGGGTTCCCAGGCTTGGTGTCCCCCGTGATGCGAACGCAGTGCTTGTAGAGCATCCATCTAGGCCCATCGTGCGGCCCCCATGGGACTCAGAGGCAAAGGGGATCATTGGAAATATGCCACAGCTCATGTCATGTGCTGTGTGTGTCTGTGTAATAAGGTCCTGTGTCTCTGACCCCAGAGTCTCCAGTCTTCCGCCAGCATCAGGGAATCAGTGACAGGTGAGCTTACTAGCTTCTGAGCTAGAAAGAGAAACTTGGAGCCTTCGGTGTGTGCATGGCAGATAAAGCCATGAGCAGAAACAACATCACCTGGGGAGGGGTCAGGGTCACACACTAGGTGACACCAAAAGGGAAAGGATGAGGGTAAGAAAAGGAACTCCCAGAGGACCTTAAGAAAGAAACTTAGAGGGGAGTAATGCCTTATAAGCCAAGGGAGTGTAGTTTCAAAGTAGGCAACAGGAAGAGATGCTGCTTAAAAGTCAAATAAGAGGAAGACTGGGGGCTCCAGGGTGGCGCAGCTGGTTAAGCGTCTGACTCTTACTGTTGGCTCAGGTCATGATCTTGGGGTCATGGGATCAAGCCCCGCGATGGGCTCCAAGCTAGGCAAAGAGCCTGCTTTAAGATTCTCTCCTCCGGCTGCCTGGGTGGCTCAGTTGGTTGGGCACCTGCCTTCAGCTTGGGTCATGATCCCCAGTCGGTCTCCCTGCTCAGTGGGGAGTCCACTTCTACCACTTTATCTGCCCCTCCCCGACCTGTTCTCCTTCCCTCTATCAAATAAAGAAATAGAATTTTACCAAAAAAAAAAAAAGAAAGAAAAAAGATTCTCTCCCTCCCTCTGCCCCTTCCCCCATTCATGCTCTCTCTCTCTCAAATAAAGAAACGGAATTAAAAAAAAAAAAAAAAAAGATTCTCTCCCTCCTTTTGCCCTTCCCGTGGCACATCTCTCTCAAAAAAAGTGCCCACTGAACTTAGCGACAAGGTCACTGGCAGAGAGATTTTAATGACATACTGTGGCTAGAGTGGGCGAAGAGTAAATTAGGTAAACATCTTAAATAAATATGTTTCCAAAAAGCTTAGCTGAAAAGGAAAGAGAAAGGTGGGGCATTGGTGACCGGAGGGGATGGGGGAGGGGAAACGAAACTTTTCTCTGTAAATAGATGGAAGAGATTTGAGAAGACTATACACTAAAGAGAACAAACCAGGAAAAAGCGAAAAATTGAGTAAAAAATTAAGAGCAAGGGGCACCTGTGTGGCTCAGCCCATTAAGTATCTGCCTTCGGCTCAGGTCATGATCCCAGGGCCCCACATCTGGATTCCCTGCTCAGCGGGGAGTCTGCTTCTCCCTCTCCCTCTACACCTTCCCCCTGCTTGTGCTCTCTCTCTCTCAAATAAATAAAATCCTTTAAATTTTTTTAAAATTAATAGCAAGGAGAAGAAAGATGGAACCAGGTCTCGGAAGAAGAGGAAGAGGGTGACTTCCAGACCCCAGGTGAGGGACTGGCTCAGACCCTCCTCTGCTGACATGGCATTTGCCCCAACCACACACCCTCAAGCAGGCCAACCGGCCAGCTCAGGCGGTGGTCTGCCTCCAGGTGAGTGGACCCTCCAGGGTCCCTAGGGAGGGGCCTGGTCATCAAGTGTCCCTGGTGCCCCCCTTGCCTGGCACTCCAGCACGCATGCACGTGTTTCCCAGCCTGGGCTCTTTGGAGATGCCCCCAGCTGTCTTCTACACACAAAAGGTCCAGGCAAGTTGGGAAGGTGTTGCTCCCAGGCTTGTGACGCCGGCTTCCGGGAAGACTGAGCGCTCTGGGCCAGCAGGATGGGCATTTGGGAGCGGGGCATCAAAGGGAAAGAGAAGACTGCTCTTGGAGATCGGGTGACTCATTCTCCAGGTCCTGGGGGTTGGCAACGGAAACACCGACAGGAAGCCCCAGGGATGCTCACAGAGGGAAAGGAACTGTCTTTTGCAGCGCACCTGCACTCTCTTTGGAGTTTCTGCACCCCCTCATTGGACTCTCCCAATTCTTGATACAGCCTTCTCACCTCGACAGGGCAGAGGAAGGAGCTGAGGGCTTGTGCGATGCTCTGCTCACAGTGTGTGTGGGCTCCGGCTCTCTATGACTTCGTCCCTGTGGCTCACACCGCCGTCTCCACGAAAGCAGCCACCAGTGCCTGGGTCAGGGCCAAGCGCGCACCACTCTCCTGCACCCCCCAGATGACACCAGCGACCACCGCCTCCCAGCATGCTCTGTGCCAGGGAAAGTCCCCGAGTGCCTTAGCTTTCTCTCTGGCAGGGCGCTGGCTGGCTTCCCAAGCACCATCTGACCTCAGGGGGTCTGATCCCTTCTGGGTCAGGCCTGGCACAAGCAGGGGGCCAGCAGAACTCTGCAGTGGGGCCTCCCTCCGGGCACGCCTCTCTTTTTATGCACAGGATGACCTCAAAGAACTTTCTGCAGAGGTGTGAGAAGAAGAACAAAAGGAGAGAGCAGTTCCTGACACCCTGATGGTCCAGACCCTTTAAGAGACTGCTGGAAGCACCAGACGGACTCTCTCCATGAAAGAGCACGCGCGCAACACACAACCTTGCATGTAGTTTCTGGCTTTGAACACCTCCAACCACAGCCGCCAGCACTCGGCCCTCCTCCTGACCTCCGGGGCAGGCGAGGTATCAAAGGAGCGTACAGCAGAATCAGCCCAGAGGCTGGCTAAAAAATGCAGATCCCCAGGCCCTGCCTCGGAGATTCTCATGTGGGGGTCTGGGGCCAGGCCCAGGAGCCTACGTTTTGAACCAGCACCTCAGATGACTTGCGCGCCAGTGCGCAGCGGACCCCACTTTGAGAAACCCGACTCTGAGGCTGAGACCCAACCCCCAAGCTCCAAAGTTTCCCCATCTCGTCGGGCGCACCGGCCGCCTCCCCTCCCTTCCCCTCCCGCCGGCCTCACCCTCGCGCGCGGTCGTGGAAGCATCGGGGAAACCTGGCGGGGACCCAGAGTTAGGGTCCCCGGGGCCTGCTCGCTCCTGTCGCCAGCGCACCACGGCCCCCGGGAGGCGCACTGCGGCGGCCTGCAGGGGGCGCGGCGCCGCGGACGACGCCGGAGGGGCCCCGGAGGCCCCAGCCGGGAGCCGAGCTGCGGGAGGGAGAGAGGCGGGGAGTGCAGGGGAGGGGGACGGAGGCGGGCGGCGCGCGGCCGCGCGGAGCCGGGCGCGGGCGCAGGGGCGGGGGCGGGAGCTGAAGCTTGCCGGGGGCGGGGCGGGCCGGGGCGGGGCTGGCGGGCGGGCGGGCGGCGAGCGCCCGGGGAGCGCGCCCGGGGAGCGCGGAGGGAGGAGCGAGGGGAGCGCGGGCGGCCGCTCGCCCCCGCCCCCGCGCCGCCCGCGCGCAACAGTTCCCCCAAAGTTGCCGCGCGGGAGGCGGGCGCGCCCCGGGCGGCCGAGGGGCGGGCAGCGGGCGGGGGACGCGGCGTCGCGGCCGGGCGCGGGCAGGGCCGGCGGGCCGCGGCGGCATGGGCACCCGGCAGACCAAGGGCAGCCTGGCCGAGAGAGCCAGCCCCGGCGCGGCGCCCGGCCCCCGCCGCGAACGGCCCGACTTCTGGGCGTCGCTGCTGCTGCGCGCCGGGGACAAGGCGGGGCGCGCGGGCGCCGGCGCGGGGCTGCCCCCTTACCACCGGCGCGTCGGCATGGTCCAGGAGCTGCTGCGGATGGTGCGTCAGGGCCGGCGGGAGGAGGCGGGGACGCTGCTGCAGCACCTGCGCCAGGTGAGCGCGGGGAGGGGGTGCGGGGGGCGCGCCGGCCCCGGGAGCGCCCCGCCCCTTGCCGAGCTGGCCGGGAGCGCCGAGGGCACCGCCCAGGGCCCCCTCTCGCGGGGATGCCGCGGGTCTGGCAGCAGGTGCTTCGGCGCTCCCGCTGAATTTGAGGCCTCGGGGCGGGGCGGAGGAAGGCTGGCCCGGTGAGGCCCGGCTGAAGGGGACCTGTTGGAATAATGTCCCCCTTTCTCTCGTCCATGGGCAGAGAGGGAGGCAGGTCCCAGGGATGGTCGGAGGGAGCAGATGCGGGGAGGGATGCCTAGTCTGGATGCCAGGGCGCTTTTCTTCCTCTCTATCCGCTGACAGTCACCAAGGGTCCTAAAGGAATGCGCAGTCGTCAGTTTCCCCAGGGGGAGTCCAAGGGCACAGCCCTGGGACTGATGAAGTGCCAGTCCTGAGATCATTTGCCCAACCTTGGAGGCATCCTGCGTAGCCGTCGAGGTGGGAGACAGCTTTTATCTCCCCTGGCTTACTTCGACAGGTGCTCAGCCAGGATCCTCTGCTGAACAGTGGAGAGAAGGGAGGGGGGAGCTGGCTTGGTTTCCTTTGTGAGTACCGGGCTGCAGGAACCTGAGGCACTCCGCCTTCAGCCTGTTCCTGTCCCTGTTCCGTTGGCTAGGGACTGACTGCCGAACTGGGCAGTCCCCTTTGCTGCGGGGCTGCCCTGGGCAGATGCTGTCATCCCCATCCCTGGCTTGTTTTCCTCCTTCACTTTCCTTTGAGGGAGGGGGCCCCCTGGTCCATGGATTTTGTTGAGAGGCAGAAGGGTGCATCTCCTGCATCACCAAACAAGTCTTGGCCCAGCTTTTGGGGGGTGACTGCGTCCAGCCCCCATATTCCTCCTCGATCACCCCAGCAATGGTGGAGTCCACTGCAGACCCAGGAGGGGGGAACCTCAGGTGGCCTTTCTGAAGTTTCTCTATCACTAATGAAAGAGGCTGTAGGAGCGCTGCCTTCCTTGTAGGCACTTCCAAAATCTAATCAGACACACATCCCTCCGGGGTTTTGTAGCACCCTTCCCCCTACCCCCCTCCACAGACACCTTCTGTATCTGGTGCATTGTTACCGTGGAGTGTGTTCCCAAGGTGTGTGCTGCATAGGGAGAAGGAAGCAGGGGCTTGGGGACTTGGGAAGACTTGGGGCTACTCCTCTTGCCTTTGCTTTTCCAAACAGCATCCAGCATGGTGCCTGAGATGCCTCTGGATTCCTAGGTTTCTTCTCTGAATTGAATCATTAAAAAAAGATGACATTATGCAGGACATAACTTCAGCAGGCGTGTGTTTCTCTGTCTTTTGAAAATGGGAAACAGAGGATGGCTTCTCCGGAAACTCTGATGCTTTCAGACAGAAAGATTGATTTTCCAGACCATCCTGTCCCATGGAGTACACAGTCAGAAGATTCTACTACTGATCATGTGCTTTTCCCCCAGCACTGGGGTGGGTGCTTCAGGGGGTACAGAGGAGCAGAGAGGGCTGACAGGTGGGGGTCAAGATAAACCCCATTTCAAGGGTAAAGGAACAAAGTCGAGCCAGCGTTCTCCAGGGCCATTTGCGTAGGGCCCGCAGGCGTTGGCAGACACCGTGGGCTCCTCCAGTCCCTCTGAAACTGAGCGTGATTCCACATCCAGAGGCTGAACCACTCCCTGGTTTTTGGAGAGTAGGTGAGTTCCTGTGGCCTTATGGGGTCCTTGAGACAGGGAACATTTCCTGGGAATTGTTGGTCTTGTCTGTGGCCTGACACCCTTCTTAGGTGTCTTAGCCCTTAAGGAGGGCTGATGGGGGGCAAGATGGGGTTAATCAGACTTGCCCCTTTTCTGTGAAAGGAGCAGATAACTTGCCTTCCTGCTCCTGTGTCAGGCTCCTTGGCCTCTGGCCTGTAGGTGAAGTCTGGGGTCTCTTTGGAATCAGTGATGGGCCTCTCTGAGGGGCATGGAGAGCTACCCTGTTGCCAAGAACATACAGATCAGGGCTCCTCCTAGAGATGGTCATGGCCCCTGAGCAGTGTGAGAGGGGAGCCCCGGGGTCCAGATGGCTATGAGAGACACACACAGGCCGTGTTCTAGGACCCTGAGGCTCTACAGAGGAATGTCGCGCTGGATCTGTGCAAGAAGTGGCTTTTTTTCCCAAATTGTGTTTCCTTTCCAGTTTGCTCCTCTAGTCTGGAGGTGGTGATGTTCAGAAAGGGAATGAGCAGCCACTGAGAGACAGGAAGACACCCCGGGCCTCACCAGGGGTTGGCTCAGCCCCTCGGGGCAAGTGTAGGTGAACGGGAACAGGTAGGGACCCAACAGCAGCCAGGACGGTCATAGCCCTGCGTTGCTTTTTCGCACAGTGCTTTCTCTTGTGTTTGAAAGCGTGTGTTTAGCTGCTGGGTTTGGGAAGGCCATAGCTCTAGGGCTAGAGGAGACTTGGGATCTTAGACCCCTGTGCTTTTCAGCTTTAAGTCATTAGCATCTGGAGCCCTGAATGAGCTATGGACATTCATCCCAGACCATGCACCAACATGTGTGTACAATCTTGCAAGAATTGCAAAGGGCTCGCAGACCCCAAGTTCAAGATCTGCTCTAGTCTGGTATCACGTTTCTCCCTCTATGTGACTTGCTACAGGCTCAGGAATGGAAGCGGGGACCTCGGGACCTTGTGTGGCAGTTTGTGGCGGCTGCTGGCATCACTCGCTTCCAAGTGTCCCCCACCTTCGCCTCTGAGGTCTGGAGGGTGGTTTCCCTGATTGGAGACTCTCGGGTCAGTCTGTGCTCGTCACTTGCTGGAAAGGTATTAGGAGACTTTACCTAATGCTAACTGAGCCAAGCCCAGGGGTTCAGGCAGAATGCCAGGAAGCTGCCCTGCACGAGTAGAGCGATCCCTCCTTCTGCGGGAGCTGTGTAATCATGAGAAGAGCTGGGGCCCAAGGCGGCTTGCCTTCCAGTCCTTAGTCAGCTTTGACCTTGGACCCAGCAGATAACCTCCTGAGTTCTGTTTCCTGATTTCCCAAAGAATCACTGGGGGACTGAGCAGAGCAGATGGTACCAAGAATGTGCAGTGGAGTTAGCTCTGCAAATCCAGATACATTCTCACGTTAATGATAAGAAACAAGACACCCCGCCCCCCTTTGTGGCCGGCGTGGCTAGGGGCAGGGTCTTGGCATCCTCTCTCAGGCCAGGCCCAGAGAGTTTCTGGATCTAGTCGACCTGGCCAGGGCTCTGTCTACGTTGAAAGCTCAGGGCGTGTTCAGAAATATTCTCTCACGGGGAAAGCATGGGGACAAAAGAAGCCAGCTGTGGGTAGAGGAAGCCATTCCTCTCCCCATCCCTGGGCTTCATTCCTGCGGGCCTGACCCTTCCCCCAGATGCTTCTCCCTAAGCCCTGGGCTCAGGCCTGCCATCTTTAAGGAGCCCTGGGAAAGAAGTACCTTCAGGCATGGAGAGAGGGCAAAATGAGCCTCTCTGAGGCACACAGATCGCAGACTAGGTTGTTGGCTAGCTTCGTGGGACGCTAGAATAAGGGGTCAGTCTCCCCAGGATATACCAGGCTGAAATGGCCCACCTGCTCATGTGCACCTGCCTCCCTGCTTCCCAGAAAGAGGGTCTGATTAGGTCAGTTTATTGCCATTCAGTATGGCATAGCCCTGCTGGGCAGAGCTCTTCCGGGGTTGGTCTGTCTAGTCCCGCTCAGTGATGTGGCTTGGGCCTGGACCCCTGGTTCAGTCTGCTGGCTTCACTCTCTACCTGGGGGAATGAGCCACATCAGCTACTGCAAAAAAAAAAAAAAAAAAAAAAAAAGAACCCCCACCAGGGCCTTGGATGACTTGCTTCCCAGGAGTGCTGAATAGTGGACAAGCACTTAGAGGCTCCCTAGGGACCTGGACATTAGATGGGTGTTTCTTACCTAAAGTCAGAAAGATGAACAGAATGGCCTTGAAGGTCCCCCTTTTCCTCTGACACCCCACCTAAGAAAATCTCTTTCAGTGAGCCGCTTGGAAGGCCAACAGATACCAAACAGGGAGGGCCCTCCCACCCTTGGCCTTGATCTGATTCTTCCCTGACCTGGAACGCCTTTCCCCATTTCCAGTGAATGCCTCTTGCCTTTCCGAGGCAGCTTCCATGTCAGCCCTTGGCTCTGAGAGTCACTCGCCTTTTAGGTCCCACAACACTGGGGAGCAGTTAATCTTCTGCATTGAGTTTTTCACCTGACATAGAATTTGTTGGTCAGACCAAGTCACATGCTTCCCGAGTGTGGAGACCCCGCCATCACCGTTGTCCCTGGCATGGTGTTGAACCCCCGCAGGCCTGTGACATTCTTTCATCAGTCTGTGCAGCGTGAAGCTATGCATCGCCACCCACTCCCCCCATCACCGTGTGTTCTGGAAAAGCTCTCGAATCCCCAGCCACAGCTGGACATCTGCGGGCTTATCCACTAGGCGCATCCGTATGGTCATGAGATCCCACACGTTTGCCTTCCATGTGGCTGGATGTCCGGGAGCAGTGTCCTCGGGGCCTGGCTGTTCCTGACAGCCTGCCAGGTGGTGGTGTTATTGGAGAGAGGAGCGGCCTGGTGCCCAGGCCTCCGTGGGCGCCGCAGGGATCCCATCCACAGGTGCAGTCCGGAGCCTCTGCTGAGGTTTTGTGGGAGGGGAGCGGAGCCGGCAAGGAGAGCCCGGCCTCCCCGTTCCTGATCAGCTGCTTGTGCTGAATCATGTTCCGTTTGTCCACAAAAGAGAAACCTTCCTTTTTAAAATCCACTCCTCTCCGACTGGGCCATCCGAGGGCATTTCCAGTTTATAAAGATGCAGAAGGAATCCGGGGCGGTCACTGCTGGTTTACCAGCCCGGAGATGCGGCAGCCTCAGTCTGGCCAGCTACCATGGCACGGCGAGGAGCTGGGCAAGAAAGCTCCTCCTTTCTGGAACAAGTGCCTGTCTCCTCAGAGATAACCAGCCTCTGCTTTGCTCTTTGTC